AAAAAAAAAAAAATTATGACAAAATCCAACATTGCTCTGATTGTTCCCCTTAAAGTAACAGACATTTTTGAACTTTTTCCCCAGTAAGCCACAGGCTCTTTTAGATCAATCTCTAACCATATTTTTCATAGAGCCAGTGTCCAATTGTGTGTTTTCTAGTGACCATAATCCATAAGCACTGAAAGAAGCATTTTTAACTGAAAGGATGTGTGTTGATACATCAGAACCACGCTGGTGGCTGGGCCCCACGCAGGCCAGACGTACAGAGCAAGCGTGCTAGGCCGGCCACGACTGTGCTCGTTGCCTTGCAGATCACCTCTTTCTGGAGAAGGCCATGCAGCTCGCCAAGAGGCACGCCAATGCGCTGTTCGACTACGCGGTGACCGGGGACGTGAAGATGCTGCTGGCCGTCCAGCGCCACCTCGCTTCGGCGCAGGATGAGAACGGGGACAGGTAAGTGAGGACTTCTGTGTGACGTGGGTCGTTTTAGGGTAGGAGAGAGAACAGCATTTTGTAAAGCGTACGGGCTGGGGATAGAAAGAGTTGTTCGAAGTTATCGGGTCTTGTAACTGGAACGCTCTCCCAGGGAAGACAGCACGTGAGAAAGGTTGAGTAGCACAATTTGCTTCTCCTGTCCCGCCGCTGTCCCCTGTGGGGCTCTAGAATAGTGATTTATAACTTAATAGATTTTACTAAGAAAAAGATGATGTTTTTGCATTTACCTTAGGAACTTTAGACACTAAATCTAAAAATGACCCTGACACGCTCATCTATAAGGACATCTCTCTGGGCGAGAAAACGAATATGCATGTAGGTAGTGGTACTTTTTGAAAATCTTTGCTTCATTTATTGAAATAGTATTTGGGGACTTGTTGAGTCCTACCAGATCCCTGGAGCGTGTTTATCCCGACTGCATATTTATAATGATAGTGTGCTCAAGAAAAAGCCCAATAAAGGCAGCAGCAACAAAATGATTGAGGCAACCGCCATTCTTTCCCAGTTACCGGTTTCTTCTCTGCTGCCTGTTAATGGTCACCAGTCTGTGACTGGTTCAGACTCTTGCGACCGTTCCAGCCCGTGCTGCATGGGAGTCTCGCATTCCAAACACCAGGCCTTCCATTCCTGCTATTTACTGAGATTATGTTCGCAAAGCCACCTGGCTTCTTTCTAAAACTGTTCTCTTTGTCCTTTCATTGAGACTTCTAAAATGAGCTCAAAAGCCTGTAAAAATAACAAGAGACAGAAGCCATCAGACTCAAGTCAAGTGTGCCTTATCCAAAACCTTCCCAAAATAGCGTCAACACTGAGAAATCCTCTTCTGCAGAAGAGCTCTCGAGTGCCATGTCTTAAACGTCAGTTTAAAAACTGAACCAAACGCTGTAGGAAAGTGCCAGCCTCGGGGTTTCAAGCAGAGGCCTTTGTTCCCGTTCCTCGCAGTGTCACCGAGGATGTGGTACGACCACTGGCCTTGGCGCACAGCATGTGAGGAACCTGCACGGCCGTGTTCGCGTGAGGCCACGAGCAGCAGAGTGTTTCTCAGGGTTAAATAATCCGGTTAGCATTCGGTAGCACATAACCCCAAGAAAAAGCACTTAGCCAAGACAGGTCAGCAGTGTTTTAAGCGATGTTTTTAGGGACCTGCTGAATTGTTGAGTCTAAGGGGAGACGAGCCCGTACAAGTTAGAAAGGGGACGCTGACGCCTGAAGGGGGCTGGTGGCCAGGGGTGCAAGGGCCGTGCGCTCCCATGGGTGTGTCGAGGGCAAAGCAGGGACGCGCGAGGACCCTGACCATACACAGACAGGCTGAGGAGGTCGCCGTCCTTATTAAAGCAGGAAATGAATACTTAGAATCCCCTTCTAGAACCCAACCACACTCACACAAGCTGGCTCAGAGAAACCAGAGAGGGGGGACGTGGGGAGACCACAGAGGAGTCCTCGTCAGAGTGTGGGCGGCGGGCAGCTTTTGGCCATTGCGGCTCAGACCTCCTGTTTTCACTGAGCTCGTCACATTCAGCTAATAGTTTGAATCCTGTGGCCATTAGTCATCACAGAAAATACAATAAAGAAAAAAAAAGGCAAAACCTGCTGGTATTGGGGAAATTCCCACAAGGGTGTGAGGATTTGAGGGGGAGGGGAATGTACTTCTGCCGTGAAATGCTGATCTGCACGTGGAAATTTTTAGGCGGTTTTTGAAGTGTGACCTTTTTCTTGGTATATGTGCATCACGTCTGTGTCAGACTTCGGGCCCTTTCCAGAAGTCTCCTTCCAGCATCACACTTCAAGAGGCAATGGTGACATCATCCATGTAAAAATATCTCTCAAGTAGTAAAGTCACGATTTAGGTTTTTAGGCCCTTCTGTGCCTAAAATAATCCCAAATAAAATGTACTTGCTATTGCTAAGAAAGAGGCCTGAAGAAAGCAGTACCCGGTAAAGTAGTGCAACCTCTGTGGAAAAGAATTTGGAGACACCTCAGAGAGCTAAAAATAGAAATACCATTCAATCCAGCAATAGCACTATTAGGCATCTACCCAAAAGAGCACAAAACATTCTACGATAAGGACATCTGCACCCGAATGTTCATGGCAGCACAATTCACTATTGCAAGGATGTGGAAACAACCCAAGTGCCCGTCAATCCATGAGTGGATTATTAAAATTTGGTATATGTTTACAATGGAATATTACTCAATCATAAGAAACGACAGTGATCTAGCACCTCTTATATTTTCCTGGATAGAGGCTGAGCCCGTTATCCAAAGTGGGGCACCACAAGAGCAGAAGAACGGGATCTGCTTGTACTCACCATCAGATTGGTACTAACTGATCAACACTAGGGTGATCACATGGCAGAAATACTCTCTAGGGATTGGGGAGATGGGGGGGATAAATCCACAACTAAAGGACACGGGGAGCACTGTAGGGAGGGAAGGGCATGCCTGTAACCCGCACTTGGGTGAGGCAAAGACATAAAGTGTAACCATAATGTTCGTACCCTCACAATACCCTGGAATAAAAAAAAAAAAAAGAAAAAAGAAAGCAGTACCTGGTATCTTCTGAGAAAAGCCAGCCTGTGCGTCCGGTCCCGGATGTCGCGCACCACGGGGTGCTCAGCGTGCCTGCGTCGGAGTCTGCCCGTGCACTGCAGTGGGCGTCCTGGGGTGTCCATCTGCAACTCTGCAGTGCGGGGCACTTGTGTCCCTTACTCAGGATCGTTTGAGGAATTCAGCGACGGCTTCGGAGTAAGACAGGCCTGGGCCGAATCCCAGCTTCGCCACTTAGTAACTGCATGACCTCGGTTGAGTCACATGACACCCGTAGGTCTGGTTCATCATCCAAAGAGTGAGGCGATGTTACCTGTCTGGAGGGTTGTCGTTGTGGTAAATGAGACAGTGCCTGCCAGGTGCTGAGCGCAGCCTGGTAAATGGGAGCTCCTGACAAATAGTAGCTGCTTTCATTATTATTGTTGAGTTGTTTCAAATTAGTTTTAATAGTAACTTTTTTAATAATTAAAAATATTATCTTCCTAGGAGTGATGTTTTGGCCCCTAGGTTTCTTCTGTCATTTTTATTTTCCTGCCCACACTGCATGCTAGGGCTGCAAAGCTGGCGGAGGCAGAGAGCTCGCCCCAGAGAAGGAGAAGGGCGCAGAGAAAACCGCGGTGGCGTAACCGCACAGTACGCTTGACAGGGTCGACTCCCTCAGTCTAGGAGGTTGAGAACGTGTTCTCCAGGGACGTTAGGGCTGAACTGGATCATTAAGGAAGGGGAAGGCATTGTCCAGGCGAAGACAAGGAGCAAAACCACTCCAGGCAGGGCGGGTGTTTGCTGGGTGCCGGGGCGATGGGGAATATGATTACTTTGTTTCTTCAGAAGTTTGCTTCAAGAATTTTCTTCCAATAGCTAAAAGCCTAACTCTATTTTTCCCTCTTGGGATCTTGGAAGATTTTTTAAAAGCCACCACACAGTATTTCGGAGGAGGGTGGCAGGGCTGGGCGAGGTAACTGAAATTTTTCTGAGCAATTTCCAGTGCCAGGCGTTCATTTTACACACATCGTCTATTTGTTAGGGAAAGTCAGGGAAAAGGTAAAGGAGAAAGCGCCTGAAACCATAGTACGGAGGTAGAATTGGGATTCGAACTTGGGCCCCTCTAGCGTGAAGTCCGGGCGCCTTCACATTTCAAAGGATCAGACGTAAATGCTTCCAGAGGTGCTGCACACCTAAGCAAGTACGGCAGCCTGGGGTAGGCAAGCCTCTGGAGAGAGCACCCACCTCACATTCCAGACGTTTTATAGGTTCAAACCATTTTAGAGTCAAATAAAACTCGCTACGAGAGCCAGATTCAGTGAGTAGGTCTAGTCATACCTTGTGTCTCTTTCTTTTTCGTTAACATTTTAGTTGATTATTGCCGCTGTATTTTCATTCCAGTGTCTTACACTTAGCAATCATCCACCTTCATGCTCAGCTGGTGAGGGATCTACTGGAAGTCACGTCTGGTTTGATTTCTGATGAAATTATCAACATGAGAAATGACCTGTACCAGGTAAGCAGAAATCTGAAGGAGTCAACTGGAAAAAAATCTTTAGTGTCTTTTTTTTGTACCCGTGGGTGCACGTTATTTTAAGTAATGTTAACAGCAGTAAAAATAAAACAAACCCTTTTGTAGGTAATATCTTAAAAGCTCATTAGTTGAGAATATTATTTGATAAATTAGGATCCTTTGACCTGTGAATATAGTGGCAATCAAGCCACGGTGAAATTCAGCAACCCGGAGGAAAGCAAACTTTAATCTGTAGAAATCAAAGAGTTGATACATTTTAGAGGGAGAACCTAGAGTAAAAACGTCACTTCTGTCAAGAAAAATAAAGTTGAAAAAAATTAAGTTTGAAAAGCCAATAATTGATAAGAATTTTGAAGTCTACTGAAACATACTTTGACAACATCCAGATTAAATGCCTGTCAAATAAAAGTGCTGGCATCAGAACGCAGAAAGGGGAAAAGGTTGCTGGAGGAGGAAAAGGTGTCTTTCAAAAACAGAAAGACAGCTCAAAGCGAGGAAAACGGGGAATACCGGAGTTTGCCCGAATCGGCTCACACAGGTATTAGGCAGCTAGAAAACAGCTTGCAGAGCCTGCTCCAGCGTCTTCAGACGTTGCGGAGAGAAGTCAGCTGGAGGCTCAGTGAGGCCACCTGCTGGGCAGGCTCGGGGGAGCCGGGAAGGATGGCGCTTGCCCGGGCAGAAGCAAAGCCTGGAGACCTCAGCGGCCTCTCCGGCTGAGGGACTGCACCGGCGCGGGCCGGGGTGGGGTCCACTGTCGGGGGCTCCTTCCTCTTCCCTCACTGCTTCCCCGCCCCACCGGTCCTCTGCGTGAATCTCCTGGCCTTGCCCCTTCTTAGCTTTCCGCCTTCCTCCCTCCCTGCACTTGACCCAGACGTCCTCCCAGTGCTCCTCAACTCAGACCTCTGACTCAGATACACCTGTCACTCCAGACATGTGGCCGGGATTGCCTGCAGTTATTTACTTGCTAAGGGTACCTGTTCCAGTTCTCAATTTTTAAAGCAAGTACTATGAATCGTTTTTATTTCCTCACTTGAAAGGAAACTTTTGAAAATTGTTTTAAAGGAAATCAATTTTTAATTTCCTTTAATAATAAAAATTAATTTCCTTTAATTTCAAAGGAAATTATTAAATTATTCATTTGCTCATTTTTATTTCCACACTTTAAAATGTGCTTTATAGTACATTTAAAGCAAAAGTACTGAAATGTTTCTGTGTAGCTCTTGATAGAGTTTTACCTGTGGACAGTAACAGGCTTTCTGATAGAGGGAAACAACCATTTCCCGTTCAGTGTGAGCCATCAGCCTCCTGCTTTGGCTGTTGTGCTTAATGTCAAAGTAAAAATAAAGTTAGAGACTTTTCACTGACTCATAATATAAAATAATTAGGATGAAGTCTGATTTTAGACTTATATCTAAAAAATACCTTTTCAAACTTTCATATCATTTGGGGGGGTTGTTGATATTTCGAAAATCATTCGGCCCATAAAGCTTGATTCTCTCAGACTTTTGGACTGACTGTTGCTTGCAGCCATCACAAGTATATGAATTAAACTAGGAATGGGACGTTGTAGCTTCTCGGTGCTCCTCTCGAAGACTGTTTAACTCCATTCTCCGTAGGTCAGATTAAAGGAATTACTTGTTTTTCTGTTTATAAATAGCATCTGCAAAGGACACAGCACAGCAGGATTAGCAACTGTGTGGTTTTTTTTAACACACTTCAACTCTTTACTGTATCGTTTGGTTACATACACTGAGACTCTCCAGTGTGCTAGAGACAAAAATCCTGAAGCCGCCACCATCGACGCTTCTGCCCCTCCCGATCTGGGGCTCTCAGAAAGATCCAGGTCCATTTCCCCACCCTGCTGCCACTCCCGTTAATGGGCAAGGACTCTAGGTCCCCAGTGTGCCTTCTCTGTCTCAAACATGCGCCTGGTGGCAATTTTGATTGAGAACTAGAAACTTGCGGATTTGAACTATTATCTGTTGTTAAGGTTCTCTGATAACTGCTCTTGATGGAAAATGATACAGTTCTCTAAGTAATTTGGATTATTTAGTAATTATTTTAAACATTCTCCCCAAATACCTTTCACTAATCTTAGTACATTTCTGTGACCATCTGTCATGATCAAATCCCTCTCCCCACCCACCCTCTAGAAACACACTCAAAATAGTCCAAGTGCAGAGAGTTAGGAGTTTTCTGAAAATATTCTCTTTAAACCTTTTTCTCCTCTCCCATTCTCCTTCCCCCAACATAGACAACCATTCCAATGTGTTTGGTATGGATTCTTTTGTGTATGTTCCCATAAAACATTATTGGGGGGGGGGTTTGCCTATATTTTTCTTTTATGTTTTTGAGTATTATAAACATACATTCATAGTTTTTAAAATGGTATAGAAACATATGCATTAGACAATTGCCCTCCCTAGATGTACAAGTTCCCTGGCCCAAATGTAACTATTGCATTTGTAGGTATTTTTCCAGGTATTGGCTACATATACACATGTAGTTGAAATACACAGACATTTTAGTATACTCTCACATACAGTCCACATTATGTTAAACATATTTCTCCTGCTTGCATTAACCTTTTTCTTTAATTTTTAAGTTGATATAATTATAGATTCATAGGAGGTTGCAAAAATGTACCAGGAAGTCCTAGGATATTTACTGGGAGAGAACTGGAGATTCCTTCACCCAGTTTCCCCCATGGTAACAGCATCCTGCATAATTATAGCACAGTATCAAAACCAGGAAATTGACATTGGTGCAATCCATAGGGCTTAATCAGATTTCACTAGTCTCGTATGCACTCATTTGTGTGTATCTATGTATTCTTTACGCATGTAATTTTTAAGTGCATTAGTGGCATTGTGCTGCCTGTCACTGTGTGTCTGCCTTTGCTATGTATAGGATCTATTCATGCAGTTATGTGTACTGCTAGTTTGTTTTTTCTCCTGCTGAAGAGAGTTCAATAGTGTGCCTCTTCTGCCTGTAATGTACTTGTTTCCCACTGGGCAACACTGCAGCGAGTGTCCTTACCCAGGTCCCCTTGCGGCTTTGTGTCAGAACCTCGCGCAGATACACGAATCCACGCAGCAGCTGCTGTGCTGGGCATCGGCCTGCCTGGCCGTGCAGGAGGTCTGCGTCAGGCTCGTGCCCACAGGCGCGGCACGAAGGTTCCTAGATCCCCACGTTGTATGATTGTCGAAGATACGATCCTGGGGCTTAAGATCTAGAAGGCTGGAGTATCCCAGAAAACTTTTGATTGGATTGTGGGAGAAAACTTTTTTTAAAAAAATCTCTCTTACTCACGATGAAAGATTTTGTGTGATATGAAAAAAATTAAATTAGAGCTATAGATAATTCCTAATTCCTGACTGGTATGCTATCTTATGATTTCAGATCCTCTTTTTTTACAATCTCATTCTCTTTCCTTTTCCCATCTCCCCAAATAGCGTTTCCAAAAACACAGATCAGTAAGCACTGCCTTTTTTGACTTAGTTATTGTTTGAGAGGAAGGCTCGTGGCAGCAGCAGGTAAAGTTTTGAGCACATCATTTAAGCCAGGGCGATAGTTCTAGAAAATAAAAGAAATAGGGAGAGTGATAATTTGGCAAAAAAGAAATTCCGATCTTGTTTCTGCTTTATTAAATAACCACTGGAATTGAGATTTAAACGACCTGCGTATCATTCATCCTGCCAGTTGTCATGTGCTGTGGTCACCTACGCCAGGCAGGATGTCGGTGGCCCACCCGCCGCTGCGGCTGCAGCCAGGAGCTGCTCCGCTGAAAGGGAAGCTATGGGCGGACCATCCCTAGACAGGCTGGATTTCCTGGTTAGACGCCTCTGAAATAGATTCGTGTAAAGATACATTGCTGTTCTCTGTCAGCGACCTCAGCTCTTTGGAAGTTACTTTCGTGGTTGTGTTTGTTTTGCTCATCTTTGAAAACACACAATTTTCAAAACATCGCATTTGTATTTGCTGTCAAACGGACTACTCAAATACCTGCCAGGTGTCAGCAGCTCGGCTTTTGTTCATCCGAGCCCCTTACTGAGATAGTTGTATTATCCTGGTTATGTCATTGAAAATCCTTTTATGAAATGAAATGAAAGTAGGAAAGTGATACTGTTTTCATGGAGCCAGTCCTTGGAATAGTATTTTTCAATGTAGTAAATTTATTTTCCGTGTCAATATAGGATCATGGCCCCTTTGTTAATTGGTTTCTGGTGAGTAGTTCGCTTAAACTTCTACAGTGAAACCATAGCCTTGATTTTTTTTTTTTTTTTTTGAGACAGAGTCTCACTCTTTTGCCTGGGCTAGAGTGAGTGCCATGGCGTCAGCCTAGCTCACAGCAACCTCAAACTCCTGGGCTCAAGCGATCCTCCTGCCTCAGGCTCCCAAGTAGCTGGGACTACAGGCATGCGCCACCATGCCCAGCTAATTTTTTCTATATATTTTTAGTTGTCCGATTAATTTCTTTCTAATTTTAGTAGAGACGGGGTCTTGCTCTTGCTCAGGTTGGTCTCGAACTCCTGAGCTCAAAACAATCCGCCCGCCTTGGCCTCCCAGAGAGCTAGGATTACAGGCGTGAGCCACTGCGCCCAGCCAGCCTTGATTTTTTTAACATGTGTAATTATCAGCTGAAGATAGATCCCTACTAGAAATTTAAGAAAGATAAGTTTACTACTAAATGAATTAAAAACTTAACAGTCAGCAGGCTGTGGTGAGAAACAAGAAAGCTGTTAAGAGTTGTAAATATAAAAATAATCCACCACAAAAAAATGGAAAGTATGCGAGGTGATGGATTTGCTAATGAGCCTGATTGAATCATTCCGCATTAGAAGCGTATATTAAAACACTCCATTTTACTGCATAAATACATACAATTATTATTTGTCAATTAAAAATAAATTAAATAATAAAATAATCGGATTATTCAATAGCTAAACGTTAGTTCAGTATACGTACTTGACGAGCATGCGGTGGGGAATCGGGAGTGACTCGTGTGCAAAGGTCAGCAGTTAATCTGGGACTGAGAAATAGCCCTGCACTCTGACCCCCGCCCGCTGCAGCGACAGCCACCAGGCCGTGGGTCGTAAGCGTTCACTGCCGCCCAGTTAATCTCCTGCCCCTCATCCACTCCCAGACGCCCTTGCACCTGGCAGTGGTCACCAAGCAGGAAGAAGTGGTGGAGGATTTGCTGAGGGCCGGGGCCGACCCGAGCCTTCTGGACCGCGTGGGCAACTCTGTCTTGCACCTGGCCGCCAAAGAAGGACATGACAAAATTCTCAGCGTCTTGCTCAGGCACGACAAGGCAGCACGACTTATCGACCACCCCAACGGGGAAGGTGAGAGGCAGTCCCACGTCACTGCTATGACCTTCTCTATCCACTTTCTAAACAACTACTAGGTATCTGATAATGTGTGTTATTCGATTTACCCCCAAAGTGCTTTCCTTCGTCTGCTGGAGCTCGTCATCTCTTGTGGGTGTTTCCGTTGCTCACCGTAGCTAGTTCCTTTACCGATGGTTTGGAATAGTTAGTTAGGAGGAGGAAAAAGCAGAGGCCTGAGCAAACACTGGTCTTGAAGTATGTAAAGCGTCATTTATTTAAAGAATACTTATTTACCCTTGGTGTCTCCTGAGATCATAACATTCTGCAGGTTTTAAAGGCAGAAAAATAGACTTACAGTGACTTTAACGCATATCTTGAGCGGAAACTCAGCACAAGAAGTGCTGAGTCCTGACAGCTCCCTTCCCTGGGATCCGTGGTTTGTCCCGTTTCCTTCAGCTTCCCCAGGGGCCATCTGTGAGCAGCCTCCTCCCCCCTCCCCCCCGTGACTGTCCCTGTGCTTGGCCGTAGGTCTGAGCGCCATCCACCTCGCCATGGAGGGCAACAGCCTGCCGTGCCTGCTGCTGCTGCTGGCCGCGGGGGCGGACGCCAACGCCCAGGAGAGGAAGTCCGGGCGCACGGCGCTGCACCTGGCCGTGGAGCAGGACAACGTCTCCTTGGCGGGCTGCCTGCTGCTGGAGGTGAAGGACGCACTTATTTGCCTTTGCGCTAAGTTCCCACGGAGGGTTGAGGGACACCTTCCCAAAGAGTGAAGTCAGTGGTAGCAGCTCCTCTCCCTGCAGTCAGCTCCGTGCCAGGCTTCACACAGCACCAGCGGGCCTTCCTCCCGCCCCCGCCCTGCGTCTCTAACTGGGATTTCTCCAGTGACAGAGCCAGCCCCAAGGGGCCCGAGGGGCCATGCACACAGCAGGAGGTGGGAGCAGAAGGGCGAGAGAACCTCCCACTAACCCTTTCCTCTGCGGGCCGGATTCTAGGGTGATGCCCACGTGGACAGTACCACCTATGATGGAACCACGCCCCTGCACATAGCGGCTGGGAGAGGGTCCACCAGGCTGGCAGCTCTTCTCAAAGCAGCAGGTACGGTGGCCTGGCGTGACTGATGGAGAAACGCCATCAGGAACGCAAACCCGGCTTCAGTAGGGCAGCCCTGTCGCCCTCTTCGAGCAGCAGACCTGTTGCTGGGAAGCATGGACCAGTGAGAATTACGTGGCCAATCGCACGTTAAGTGCTGCAAAGGCACTGTTTGGACGAGTAATCCTGGGCTTCACTGTGACAGTCAGGCCAGTTTTACTCTCTGATTCATCTGTTTGTGTTGGGTTCTCACTGTTTAGCTTGACTCCCATGGCCAGGGATCTTCTTAGAGGGTAATAATTCCTTATAGGATTCTGAGTGGTGCATTCTCAGATCACATCAGAAGTCCCCAGAAGAAAAAGATTATGTATTTTTGTTTTTTAAGAGACAGGGTGTTGCTCTGTTGCCCAGGCTGGAGTGCAGTGGCCTAATCACAGCTCACTGCAGCCTCCAACTCCTGGGCTCGGGCGACCTCCTGCCTCAGCCCCTCAAGTAGCTGGGACTACTTGGTTAATTTTTGTTGTCGTTGTTACTTTTTGAAGAGACAGGGTCTCGCTATGTTGCCCAAGTTGGTCTTAAACTCCGGGCCTCAAGCAATCCTTCCTGCCTTGGCTTAAGGAAAAGATTATTGGTATAAGAAATAATTTAAAGACTTCCTTTTGAAAATAGGTCTCTTAGAAGTCGAAGTAGTAGGAAAAAGCAAATGAACCATGTATTGAGTCCGGTCATGTGCAAGGCACTGAAAATTGCTAGCATTTTTGACCTTGCTACATACCAGGCACTGTGCTAGGCATACTTTACATGCACTGTCGCATTTAATCTCTTCTAATTCCCAGTACCGCTTTGGGACAAGTGCCATTATTATTATTCTCATCTTACAGTCAAGGAAACCGACTAGAGAGACCACCTGGTCCAACTCCAGGGTCCCCGTAAGTGGCAGAGCTATGACTCACACCTTGGCAGTCTAAACTTCCAGACCTTATTCTCTCTACTGTGTTTCTCTCCCCTGCTTTGCTCATGGGTTTGCAGATGCTAATCCTTTTAATTCTCTAGTTCTGCGAAGTATAGAAAATTACTCCTTCTCATCTTTGACTTTCCAATACCTTACATGTTTAGGACCTCAAAAAATGCTTAATGAATTGGTATCTCAAGCCTACCCTGACATATCTTATTTACTTCAAAGGTTATTTGAAAATTTAGAAGATAAATGCTTTATAAATTCAAGAAAACAGAGCAGGTTAAAGTATCATCTTAAAAGTATAGGAACTTTTTCTTCGGAGACACCATGCTTTTCTGACAAGCAAAATCACATCCAAATAAGCAGTAGCCTTTTCCTTTCTCCTTTGTCAAATGGAACTTTTTCTTGAACAAGAGACTCCATTTGCAGCGTGTGTGGATAGTTTTGGAAGTCACTGGTTATAATTAAGAAATGCCTTCAGACAAGAAGCTATAACCCTTTCAAAAATGCTTTCTCTTGAATTCTCAGAATTCCATGAAAGGAGTAGCAGGTAACAGTTTCTCTGAGCTGTGAAGGAATCAACTCAGATGAAAAACCTGCCTGGGCTCACAGTCGTGAAAAAGGTCACGTGAGGAACAGATACAGCGAGGCCCCTCTAGTCTTCGCTCCTGTAAATTATTCATCTCAATTTCGCCATTGTTTTCATGGTCGGGTTACAATTACTGCCTCACAGATCAGGCTAGGACTTGGAGAGTAAAAATCAAGACATACGTGAAGATTCTTCTTTGGCTGTGATCAGCACTGTCCTGTTACCGAAGTTGGCCCAAATCTAATATTCTTCCAGCAAGATAAAAACAGGTTCCTCCTCCCAAAAAGGTCTGCTGGGCTTACTACTGCTCATCAGACATCAACCTAGACACTGTCATAAAGAATCTCTAAGCCTTTGGGAAATAAGTTTAGCTTTAACACTTGAGTTACTTTTGGTGGCTTTTTTTCCCTGAAGCTAAAAAATAAACTAGATTTCCCGAGATTCATTAGCCCCAAATTTTTCAATAACATGCTAGCGGAGCGTTTTTTATTGTTGTTGTTGTTGTTGTTATTGTTTGTTTGTTTTGGGTTTTTTTTTTTTTTTGATGATTTTTATTTAAGGATCAGGGCCCTGGCGTTGCTGTACCCAGGAATAAAACTGACCATTCTGTCATTAGGCACCAAGCATGCTTTGCTCTTTTGAGCATGCGAGAAAAGAGGCTGAGCGATACGCATTGGCAGGCATAAATGTAACCGTTTAGGAACTCGATCCAGAGGGTACGCCCTAGTGTCTGTAAGCTGCTGTCGTTAGTCCTCAGATTAAAGACGCGTCATTCAGCTGAGAACCGTCCCGTAGAGTTAAATCTGAAAGTCGGTGTTTGGAGTCTCTTGTTTTCAGCAGTATCTTTGGCTCTATAGGATATCATAAGACACCTTTACAGTCAGAGTAAATTAAAACCTAAAAAGAAGTTCTCTGGATATTTCAGTGGAAACATGTTCTATGCATTAAAAATTATCCAGCTGCCCCTAGCAGCTACTGTGCTTTGGAGATCTGACCCGAGGCAGGTGGAAGCTGACAGGTCTGGGCTTACCTACTGCTGGGTGACCTGACTTCACAGGAGCAGACCCCCTGGTGGAGAACTTTGAGCCTCTCTACGACCTGGATGACTCTTGGGAAAGTGCGGGCGAGGATGAGGGCGTCGTGCCCGGGACCACACCTCTGGACATGGCCGCCAGCTGGCAGGTGCGTGCCGCCCAGTCTGCCCCGTGGCTGCTCTGAGGGAGCCCAGGGCCCAGGACGTGCGGACAGATGCTCTCCCTGGTGCTTCGTTCCCCAAAGAACACACCTTTTATTTTGAAGAAAGTCTGCTTGTCAGGAGCCATATTTATCCTGAAAAACCCCTATCCGTGAAAGATCTAGGTCAGCCGGGTTCTGAGCGCAGAAGTGTGTGCCTCACCAGATCGGAGTCGAGATGTGAGACAGGGTTAGAAAAAACATAAAACTCACACCAAAGTTTACCCATTCCGAACTCACACCAGAGTTGTACCGTATTGGTTTCTGAAGTTAAGGCAAATGTTATTGTTTGCTTAGAACTTAGGAACGTGATTTCCGAATGTGAAAATAAACTAGGACTCCTTCTGAGAATTTCAGTAAATAAAAGCAGTGTAAACAGATGTGAGCCTTCCTCAGAACCCACTGAACCGAGACCTGAAGTGAAAAGCAGCCACCAGGGAAGAGAGCCGAGGGGGGCGGTGGGCGGCACGCGGGGTCTCCAGCATGACAGAGCGGCTGTTTGCGGGGGCGAGAGCTGCTCCGCTTCTAGCAGCTTCTCCTCCGCCTCCCTGCAGCCCAGGTGTGCTGAGCTGGGCGACCCTGGCAGAGGCCGCGTGGTCCTCAGCTCCTAGCACCTCATCTCCCCAGAAGGCCTGGCCGCAGAGCAGAGAAAGACAGCCCAGTGCGGTGGCTCTGCGCTGTCCTCGCCCGGGTCGGCCCGCAGCCAGGGGACTGCAGAGCACACCCGAAGGGCCTCCATAGCTACGGAGGTTTTTTTCTTTTAACTTAAGACATTTCTGGACTCTCAGTTAAAATGTAGATGGTGCCAGAAGGTTAACACCAAGCCTTGTGGACACACACACGTCTCGGCTTGAGCAGGCTCATGAAATTCACTCTCACAAGCCTTTTACTAGGACGAGGGGACAGCCAGGGGACACAGCTTCCCAGCTCTGAATAAGCTCCGCCCGAGCCTTGGGTCCCTGACCAGGAGCTGGCTGACTGGGCGGCCTGGACTGCCTTGTCCCGCAGGAAGGCTGTCACTCTTAATGTCTGCGTGGTTGGCTGGGGACTCGCACCCCCGCGCACGGTTTCTGCAGCGGCGCCCGCAGCTGCTCCCGCCTCGCAGGGCGCCCTGTGCCTGGGGACGGTCCTGCCGCCTCCTGTGGTCCCTCTGTCTTTGAGCTGCGGGGCCTTCCTAAGGAGGACGTGCCGAGTTCTTTATCGTAAGACTCCCCTCGTGGCCCCTTCAGTGTATAACGTGTTCCCGTGTTTTCTTCCCAACAGGTGTTTGACATATTGAATGGGAAACCGTACGAGCCAGAGTTTACACCTGACGATCTGCTCGCACAAGGTGGGTCGTGGCGGAACCAGGTTCTCTTGAGCGCCGTTATCCTCACGCTGTCATTTAGAGGAGGACAGGGAGGGCCAGTGTGACCCGGGTCCACTGTGCAAGGCGTAGTTCTTGTTTCAGAATCTAAAGACCTGGGAGAAGATCCAGTTTTAACCTGCTGTGGACACGCACTGCTGGGACGCAGCCGAGCTTCCGCCACCTGCCAAGCGGGTGGCTCGGCTGCTTCCGCCGGGAGTGGCAGGGCAGGCGAGGTGGCGGTGACGGTCCCCCCAGAGCGTCTCCGGTAGGTTGAGATAACCGTGTCCCTTCTTCATTGCCTTCAGGAGACATGAAACAGCTGGCCGAAGACGCAAAGCTGCAGCTCTACAAGTTGCTAGAAATTCCCGATCCAAACAAAAACTGGGCCACTCTGGCACAGAAACTAGGACTGGGGATACTTCATAACGCCTTCCGGCTCAGTCCCGCTCCGTCTAAAACGCTCATGGACAACTATGAGGTAACGCATCGCCTGGCGTATTTAGCAATTTTCATTCGACTCCCCTCTGTTCACATCACCGCCCAGGACAGAGTCGCGTTCTCTGTCCCTTCGCTCTGAGGAAGCAAGGCAGTCCGTGCCCGAGGCCGGGGGGGTGACCCCGGCCCAGGTGGAAGCCCGTTTTCCTGAGAATACTGTTTTCACATGCCTGGGGAGTTTCCATTTTCAAATACTTGGAGACTTCCTGTAAAAATGCTACGTCGAGGGTCGGGGTTTTCACAGAACTTTAACCCCCGTGAGCAGAGGATGGACTGAAATCAACATGCGCATCTCCCGGCGCCCGGGAACGCGCCTGGATCACGCACCGGGCATCGCACGCGTGTTCGGTGCGGCGACTCCTCGGGGAGCCCACCCCGCGGATGCCACGAGGGGGGGAGTTACTTGCTGTTGGAAATTTCGCGGTTAGCTGCTATCGCCCTGTGGGTTTCAGAGCTCCGGCTTACGCAGGGAGACGGTGTAGACGCCACTCCAGGCGGGTTCCACAGCCCCAGCACTTCTCTCTCTGTCTCTCTCTCTCTGTCTCTCTCTCTCT